TAGAATATTTATTGATATGAATATAATTAAATTGCACAATAGGAACAAGGAATTGAATGAAAATAAGAATTGCACAAATTTTAACTATAGAAATATATTTTGTTTACTAAAACATTGTACATGTAAACTTAAACTTAACACGAGAGACTCATCGTAACGTTACCGAGCGTTACACTTTTTCATAAGTGACTCCCAGCCGCAACCTAATTTAAGACGTTGTCACGTCAAAAGAAATAGTTTTAAGAAAAAGAAAACAAGAATACAATATTGTAAAGAATTACAATGAAGTCCTTTACAGCCTACAATTTAATCTTTTGTTTGACAATCGCTTAAAAGCCGCGCGCCATTAACGAGAGCATCATTACATATAAACAATACAAACTCTATTGTTGCAGGTTTTGAGGAATTCAAAGGGTTACCCACAGTCATTACCTGCCGTTGTTTGCCTATAATAATTACTGATTATTTGCTTTTATTGTGGGTAGGTGAATAAATAATACGTTGTTATTATTATTATTCAACAATGACTTCGATTATAATAAATACGGAGTACACCTGTATTTCATTTCACTTATCATTATTGATTCGTACCGTAACGTTCTCTTTGCTCAAATTTTAAGTTGCTCAGAACGGAAGGGCTTGTGTCTAATCTCGACGTATATATATATATGAGGCAAAAATCTTTTAGTGCCGACATGTTATTTCAAAAAGTACTCGATTCAGTGAGATTTTCATTATCTGAAGAACAAAAGACAACTCTTAAAACGTTTTGTGCTACATATACGAGTTATCTTAAACGCAAATGGAAGTCAGCTAATTACACACTAGGGAATTTTATAAAGAAGTTTGCTGACTGGTTGGACTAAGAAATAAAATGGCCAGAGTTTGTTTCACTAGACATAACTGAAGAACAATCAAATATTATGACGAGTTTTGAAGATCCTTCAACAAGTATTTCAACAGTAACAAGACCTATTTTATCAACGGAATGCACTGTTCCTCATAGTGTGGCTGTGTCGACATCAACCGCTACATTTAGTCCTCGAAAAGAATTTGCCAATTTGAGTCCACTGCAAAAAAGAAGAAGAACTGAAAATCTCATTGCCGAAAACGATTTTGAGACGCTTATGCCCTGGCTAGGAAAGCGGAAAATGAAAACCAAACGGACTTTGTAGAATAAGTGAAGCATTTGATTAAAAAGCCTGAAGATGCGCCAATGCTGCGAGCCTGCCTGAAATCGACGAAACGAACTTGTCATACCGATAAGGCACTCGGTATTTCAACATCACTGAAATTATCGAAATGGCAGTATATTACATTGAGGCAGACAATGAGAGACATGGGGTGTGATATACTTCCATCGTATGATGCTTTGAAGCAAGAGAAGAAGGAGTGCTACGTTGAAAAAGAAGACATGGTAATAACTGAGACTGAAGTTAAACTTAAACTTCAGTCTATTTTAGATATTACGGTCAACAGACTATTAAAAACTCTGGAAACTGATTTAACTGGCAGTAATTCGACTCTTTATCAGTAAATGGGGGTTTGACGGTGCATCTGGGCAAAGCAACTACCAACAAAAAATTGACGGCGATGATTCAAGCATCTTCATGTGTTCATTTGTGCCGTTAAAACTGGTGAGAGATGGTACTGATGAAATAATATGGGAAAACCCCAAAGCGTCTTCAACGTTTTACTGTCGACCCATTTATTTTAAGTTTGCTAAAGAGAACGATTTGAATGTTAAAGAAGAAATGACTTTAATTGATACGGAAATTGCTGCTCTACATCCAACTGTTATCGATGGTGCAAATGTAAAACACGTTATGCATATGACGATGATTGATGGTAAAATAACTTCACATTTATCAGATACATCCACAGCTACATGCGATATATGCAAAGCAAAACCAAAAGAAATGAATGATATCGACAAGGTTACTCAGAGAACCCAGTCTGTAGACATGTTTAAGTTCGGTCTGTCTTCCCTCCATGCACGAATTAGATGCATGGAATGTATCTTACATATTGCTTACCGTCTCGACTTCAAGAAATGGCAAGCTAAGGGCGAAGATTTGAAGCAACAGTTAAGCCAAAGAAAAAAGGCTATTCAAGAACAATTCCGGACTGAAACGGGGCTACTTGTGGACGTTGTTAAACAAGGGGTTGGTACAAGCAACGATGGAAACACAGCAAGAAGATTTTTTGTTAATCCTCAAATTACTGCTCAAATAACGGGTGTTGATGAAGAACTCGTTAGAAGATTTGGAGTGATTCTTCAGGCTATCTCATGTGGAGAGTTTGTGGACGTGGAAAAATTCCGCCAATATTGTGCTGCTACAGCACGCAAATATGTCGAGCTCTATGAATGGTATTATATACCCTCAAGCGTGCATAAATTACTCATTCATGGTGCCGATATAATAGAGCACAATAACTTTATACCAATCGGCAAGCTCTCTGAAGAGGCCTCTGAAGCTCGTAACAAAGATTTTAAAAACTTCAGAACCTTCCACTCGCGTAAATCTAGCAGGATTGCAACAAATGAAGATATTATCAATAATTTGTTAATATCGTCTGACCCATACCTATCAAGTTTCAGGCCTAAAATATGTCAACGAAATAAACCTCTCACAAATGAAGCTAAATCATTATTATTAACTTCTTGTGAAGATAAGGAAAATATAGAGTTTGTAGATGTAGGTAATGTATCTGATTATGACTTTGATTAGTATGTGTTCTTTCCCTCAAATCAAATTATATCAAACTTTTAATTTTTATTTTTTTGTATCTTTGTATCATATTAATATAAACAGTTTACATATTTAAGAACTGTTGTAGCCAATTTGAGTTCTACTAATCTTTTATACTTTAGCTTGTATGTGTGTAGTAATTTATACAGTTGTGGCTTCCTTATTATGCATTATTTAATTTATGATATCAAGCTTAGTTAGTAATTTAAGTTTTGTAAATAAAAATATTGATGTTAATAATTTTGTTTTATTCATAATGTAAATAGTTTATTTTCTCGTTTGGCAGTAACATATCAGAATCTCCCTTACTACATTTACTAATATTAATAACCAGCTAGTTTATCTGGAAAAACACTTTGTTCATTTTAAGCTTAGTCAGTTAAAGTTCGAGGTATCCCAAAATAAACATATTTGATCAAACCCTTTCTTAGATAGACATTGTAAGTGTAAGTATGTTTGTTTGAAAAAATTAATTATTATAGGCAAACAACGGCAGGTAATGACTGTGGGTAACCCTTTGAATTCCTCAAAACCTGCAACAATAGAGTTTGTATTGTTTATATGTAATGATGCTCTCGTTAATGGCGCGCGGCTTTTAAGCGATTGTCAAACAAAAGATTAAATTGTAGGCTGTAAACGACTTCATTGTAATTCTTTACAATATTGTATTCTTGTTTTCTTTTTCTTAAAACTATTTCTTTTATCTATTTATATTAATTCCATATCTTTTGAATTAGGACGCTTTTATTTAAAGTTAAGTTGTATGGTGGCGTTATCTACTGTGTAGTTTTATTAGATAATAATCTGTGTTATATTAATAACTAAATGCTGGGCAAGAAACATAAACAAACTGTTTATTGAGACACGTAACCCCGTAAAGCAAAATTACCCTAATAAGCATTTTGCAAAATTCGTATCTTTTGAACGGGGCCGTCCGGGGTGAAGGTCAAAGGTCACATGGCTTCGTAACAGACCCGGTAATAATCCCTATAAGTTTCAGCTTGACCGTAGAAGACCGATACAAGTTATGAGCAAAACAAATTCCGTTTTCACATTTGAAACTCTAAAGCCCGTGCTTTATGGTGTTAGATTAAAAGGAAATTCCCCAAACTATTTTATTATTCAATGTACTGATATGTCCAATAAAACCGCATACCTTAAACGGATAATAAACATTTTTATTTTTTCAAAAATCCTATGAAAGGGGACCTCTTTTTTTCACCCACTGTGCGACACCGAGAGCGTCCAAGAACCACGGAGCGGCGCGCGGCGACTGAGCGCGACCTAATAGTAACTCGTTATTGTTCCGTGCTATAGCCAAAAAGCGGCGTAGTCACGCGCCATCTCTTGCGTGGCCGCTTCACAGCTTTTTTCAATTTTAACTTACGTATGTATGATATAGGAATTAGGGTTTGACTTAAATTATTAACATCTCAGTATCTTCACCGAGCCTCTCCTAGTGTGTGCTGCACCTAAGGCTTTTTTACTCGTGCTCCACCGAGGTTGACTAAAGGTACTAGTTCTGACTCTTGGTTGACCTGGGTGGACTACAGACACTGACCCAGACCCTCGGTACACCTGGCTAAACTACCTATAACGCAGACTCATGATTCGCCAAGCAGAGGTGCGTGTCCAGCTAGTTGTTATATTTCAACCAAATTATGATGAATATAACTTTGTAAAAACTACGTATCGTAACGATGTCAAAAAAAAGTATTTGGAATATACACGATGTTTTTCCCTATGAAATGTGTATTTCAAGTTTGTTGGGTTTAGTGTAGGAATTTATTAAAAGTAGGTACTTTGAATATACGCATATTTTAGAAGTGGAATTAAGCTTGTGGGTTTCTAAACTAATGAAATCTGTAATGGAAAAAGATATTTTTATTATTTTTTCCAAGTCCATTGAAAAGACTTATAGCGCGATTACTTGGTCGTTAGCCCGTATACGAGTGCCAATGGAATTCGAGTAAACGATTAAGTGTAAATGAACGAAGTCGAGCACGCCTGTATTTGGGTAGTTTTCGTTTTGGTTACAAGTCACCGTCTTTCAGCCCGTATTCCAGTGTAAATATTGCTTCGGGTGCCAGAGCCAGTGTTTCGTGCACCCGAATACGGGCTAACGACCAAGTGTAATTGATATGAGCCGATATTCTAGAATTGACGTCATGTTTCGTAATGACTTTATTCTGAGTAAAAATGTTATTAACTAGGCCAAGGAATATTTAAAAAAACGATTTTGTATAATACAAATCATTTTATTATTAGATAGACACAGTTCCCATCGCTTATCAGAAACAATGTACAAAGCTATAGTAGTAATATCAAATATAAACAATATGCACCCTTCGTTTACTGCAAGCCTTGTTTCAGGGATACAGGATAATTGAGCGCTTCTAGTTTCTGCAGTTAAGACAATATAAGAACAGAATGCAAAATGTTTATTTTCACTACACAATATTATAAATGCGACGCAATAAAATAAAGCATAGCAGAAATATGAATCAGCGAGTGCGTACACGCACGCTCAGTGCCGCTCGCTGGTGTTTCGGCAGACGATGCTCACACGATGGTTCCAGTGGGACTAGAGATTTTAATTAAATTGTAATACTTGGGTTACAGTGTCTTTCATTTGTAACAAGCCCTTACACAAATGCTTATTTTGTAATAATATATATAAAGGTCGTATAATATTGTTACAGTAATTTCATTACGTGGTTATTATACTTCTAATCAAGCATCCGTATGTCGAGATGAGGTGATTGATATAAATAGGAATCAGTAAAAATATTTCATTATAATTTGATTCAACACGTACCAGGATGCTTGATGAGAAAACCTAAAAAAATCTCTATACATCATGCTTTGAGACCTGCTCGCAAAGCCGAATTATGCTTTACTATACGGGTCCAGGAAAGCAAATTTTAAAATACAATTTTAATCCAGATTACAGTAACAATCACTCTGTGGAAGCGGTGAGCGGTATAAAAAATGGGTCCAGGATCCGCAAAGTAATTGTATCTGCACAGTTACTAAACGCATCAGACACTGATGACGCCATAATTTATCAATATCAAAACAAATGAACGGTCCTTATCACTTTATAGAATATACAAAATGCAGTTACTTATTTCCCTGTGGAAAAATATTATCTTATAGTATTCTTAGATCACGGCGCGCTTCGATCTGTAACAAAAAAAAAAAAGAAACTGATGTTTGGCTCAAACAAACACGATACACTTAAGAGGTTAGAGGCAATCTATAAAAAATATAATTGCTCACCTCTAATAACCACAGGTAATTAAATAGTCTCCTAACTTCTCCACTACGGATGCTGCTTGCTGGGGTTGGATGGGTTCTTCATACAAAGAGATGACGACAGCTGGAACAAAAAAACACCATCACTAACAATTTAGATCTGCCAATGTAGGTCTTGGATATTATTGCTTAAATCTAAGACAGTTTTCCGACCGCCGCACAGTAGTCCAGAAACAGACTCACAGTCACAAAAATCTGTAGCTCATTTGCCTTCAATGATAACTACTTCTTTTTTTTTACACATAGACTCAATACTATATGGGCTTATTAATTAATTAAGTTTTAATCTTAATAAACTTTTAGATTAAAACTGTCTATTATAAAATGTCAAAATTAACAACATTAAATATACATCGTTAAATCAACTATTATGATACATTTTACTTATTTGAGATAATCATAGAACTAGAATAGTGGACAACTCTTAAGAACAAGGAAAAGAAGAAAGAATAATTCGCTCTCAGGTAGATCTTAAAGCATTTTTGTCAGTGACGAAAATCAACAAAATGTAAAATATAAGAGCTATGCAATTAAAATTTATGTTTAATAAGTCTACTATAGACAACATATCCTGAGAGTTTTGTTTATCTGGCATAATCCAGGCCCAAGTTATAGAGGTTCAAAAAGACGACGAAGCGCTTGGAGAAAAGGTAGGTAGGTAGTGCTCTTGTGTTTCGATTGCCTCGTCTTGGCGTCTTGGCGGGGGCACTACCGTACCTCCTGATCTAAATAATAATATTTATTTCATGGAGATCGTAAATTATAGTCGTAAAACAATAAAATAATGTTAATTTTGGTCATTGTTTGGGCTTACAAAAAAATATTTCTCTATAATCTAGAATCAACAAATATTTTATTTAGCTTAGTATGAAGACAGCGACAGAAAGAGCTTAACTTCAAAAGTCTGTTTGAAAACGAATCAAAGTGCCAAAACAAGGGCCTCACTAAAATATTAAAATCTTCTTGTTTAGGTTAGTATTTTAATAAATTCCTTATAACATGCTCTTTTTAAAAATATATAACAATATACAATGGAACTTTTTGAAGAAGCTCGATTGAAGTGAATGTATGAGTATTTTAGTCGAAACAATATTCTGACTCTTTGTACTTTGGGGGCTCACTTTTATGGAGGGTTTCTACTGTGCGCCGGCCGGCGAGGAAGCGCCAACTATCGGCTATTTTCTCGCTCAAGGAACAAACAGTTAGCTCCATAAAAATTTGAATACTGATTATATAGAAGTTGAAGACTGATTCAGAATTATCGAAGATAATTTATCTTCGATAATTCTGATATTCATCGAAATATAAAACGAAATTAGATAATCATCTAACAGAGCATATCAAATTGAATTAACTTATTGTTGTAAGTTGTAACCACCCAGAGTGGTCAATATTATCGAAACAACATAATTCATAATTATGTTACGTTGATGAACTGTTCAATGGTCTAAAATATCTTGGTAGTAAAGAAAAATAATCTGAGGTATTATGGTTCTTATGTTTTCATTTAGTGCGTAACGTGATTGAGAAGTCTCTTCTTTGGGTCTAAAGGCGCGATTCCACTAAGCAACTATAATTTAATTATGTATGCAAGATGCAAATTACATTAAACTTGAACAAACTTGCATATAAACTAAAAGTTGCGTGTCAGTTGTACATGTTGTTCAAGTAACGCGCAATGAGGGTGTTTATGAAAAGTTACGTCACCACTTAGCGCCACTGTGATGTGAGGACTTTTGTATGAAGTATTTGGCACCACCTAATCAAACGAGCATTTAAATTGATCCATAGACTATTAGAACAAATGCGATTTGACGGATAAGTAGACCTTTCGTCTCAGTACTGCCACCTGGTGCCCGTCATTCAAGAAAACCCTCATTCAAAGCACAAGCGTTATTTGCACGTTTCACTTTACTTAGTTGAACGTTGAAACGTTAACCTACACAATTGGGACTCGACTCGGGACAAGTTACGATTCCGAAAAGTGTGCGTTGCAGTATGAAGTTTTATATAAAGAATACTGATCGGCTCGACTTGATACGGTGACGATCCCTTTACAAGTTTATATGTGTGCTTATATATCTTAATTTTTACCTTTAATTTTATTTTAATTGATAAATCCATGTAAGCAAAGACATTTAGGGAGTACTCTGGACGCTTAGATAACAATGAACAGTTACTACGCTTAGGTACATATTAAAAAGATCATTGTAATGGTGTATATGTATTTGGAGACTTTTGACCTGAAGAGATATAAGACTCGTTGATATTTAGATGACTTTAAATGCAAAGATATAATTGAACCTTTGCTATAAAATATAAGATAAAATAATAAAAGATATATTTGACCACCTAATTAACTCATATTTTTATGAAGCTGACTGTAAATAAAAGTTATGCATATATTAATAGTTGATCGCTGACTGTTCACATTGCTGGCGAAAACTCTCTCCACTATTTGTCGCTGAGCGACAAGAGCTATCAATAATAATACTCGCTCAGCTTGCTAGTTGTCTCAATACGTGCGCGCAGCATTTTTGCTCAGGATTGTCTCCGCAAGCGAATAGCGCGAGTAATTGACCGTCGCAACGTACTCGCACACTCGCTTATAGCCCAGCGCCAAAACTATTGGTACTACACACTCGCTTATTCTGCTCGTCAACTCGTTTCTTGTTCATCGTCGACGGTGGGACAAGTGCCTAAATAGGTATCTTTTTAGGTAATCCTAATTCTAACTTTTTCAGGTTAAAATTTTCCAATTTCATCAAAACAGTATATTTTAAATGAAAGTGAATGCGTCTTGCATTTAGCAGTTTTTGGAATATATATTTCGTATTGATGCAAGACATAAATAATCCCACTGTTGTTTTTGCTACATTCAACTAAGCCGCTTGCTTACCTTGTTGCGTCTTCATGCAGTGTACGCCGACTTTGCCGAGTTTTGCGCGTATGATGCGATCTGTACCACTGAGGTAGATGTACCGTGTACCCGCTATCGTCACTCCACCACTTGTAAGGAGTGATTCATTTTCAAATCCAGCCACTATCTTCGCAACTTCATCTTTTGATATCTGTTGACAATGAAATAACACATATTTTAAGTGAGTAATAACGTAAATAAAAATAATCTTTTCTCAAACATACTTGGAAAGGACATTGTTCTGCGTCCATACATAGTTAGCCTAAGAACCAATAATCATGAAATATTATTTTCTAGGTTCGAAATCGCAAGTAAATGACTGTAAAAACAAAGATTATTGACGGACACTTACGTATCAAAGGCGGCAAAGTAGGGCGAACCAAATATTTGGCAAATCAAAAAAAAACTGTTTAGTCTCGTCTTTAAGGGAGGATTTTTATAATTGACATTCATCATAACTACAAATCGTAGTGAAATGTCAATATTTTATCCTCCCTTAAAGACGAGACTAAACAGTTTTTTTTTGATTTGCCAAATATTTGGTTCGCCCTACTTTGCCGCCTTTGATACTATACGACTCACCTCTGAGAACTTAAATTATTAGGAAAACTAATGTTTTTTTGAGGTTATGTTTAATATTCAATGAAACATAGGTCAACCTACGAACTTAGTTTGAAGTGAATTAATATTCAACTAATTCATTTTATTATTAGGTGCGATTTTAAAGAATAACTATTAGGAATAACTTGGTTAGGTAGGAATCATGAATAAAATAAAAACTAGTTTTGCTTCTTATTATTTATTGGCTATTTTTCACATAATTGTATCATATTGTATTTATTTGTTTAACACATGTATATTGTGTAAATATGCAGCGTGAATGTATATCAGGTGCTCTTGAATAATTTGGCAGTATGATCCTCTCAGGATGTTGTGGCACAGGTTCACTAGCACTTGATAATAAGGTCTCTGCTTTTTGGTTACATCGATGGCATATTAGATAGCCGAAATAGTAAAAGTTAAATTAAAGGAAAAACAATCGCAAATAAACACACACAACAGGGAATCCAAAACGAGAATTTTCCGTATATAAAAAGTACTCTTTGACGAGAATGCACGAATGCCACAGATTACTACGAATGCAAACTGCCTGCACCTGCACCACAACCACAGAGTATCGAGTTTATGCCGGCCCCTCAATTGACAACAGTTTGTCCTTATCATGCTTAATAAGGAATGAAAAGGACAGACTGATGTCATGTTTTTAAATAGCAAATACGAATAGCCAAGTGAAGTGCCGGCATTAGGAAGAAAGAGTGTTTTGTTTGCAGCGCTGTCCATAGATTATACACATATTTATTGTCTCAGATTATTAATTAACTTTTTAACTTAGCTTACTTAACTGGAAGTGTCCGTCACAATCTAAATACTGATAACTATCGCAAAAAATATACTAACAATTATCATAAATGCCAAATTGGAGTTGGTTCTTAGGCCAATTTTAACATTGTCCATTGAGTTATTTATTGACAAAAAATTGCTGTACTGGCCACATACATGAGAGCAGCAGCCGGCAAAAGTAGTATGAAAATTAATATCTATCGTATTTTAGCGTCCAAATTAATTAGGGCCTCTTTTTACACTGGCCCATAATGGGCGATTATAGACACGCCCGATTATGTGGAGGCGTCCATGAGTGGCCATCATCGCCTGTAATCGTAAGTAATCGGTAGATTGTCGGTACATCAAAGGGATGTGTGCCGATGATCATGCGCGCGTCCACACACACAATTGGCCATTACTCAGTCACACGAAAGAAGACGAGGCTCGAGAACATGTGTGTAAATTAAATCCAAAGAGTGCTGAAGTTGTATGCAAGTTTCCTTGGGTAATAATGGCATAGGGGAGGAAGGGCACTGGGCCCAATCCGCACAATGTCAACAGCGAGTACATCACCTTCAATTTGTCAACTACAGTGTAGTTGTAATGGTAGGGCAGCCTAAGCTATGATTTTTCAATTTACTCGAACGCGGCAGAATAACATAAGGAGGCACCAACCCTGCACCATTTGAAGTACTCCTACCATACTTGAGCCGAACGTCTAGGGCAGCAATTTTTCATCAAACGGCCATGACTTTTCGTCGCGTCCAAATCGTCAATCTTTACAATAGGGGCTACTGGAGGGTTCACGTAACATCCCTTCTCAATTTCTGACGCGCTCGCATATTAGTTTTTCCCACATTCTACCCCTTCGTACGGCTACCCCCCCACCATGCAAACCGGCAGAGCAATATTTTTTCCGTCTTCAGAACCGTTACGTGAAATCTTCAGTAGCTTCTATCAATCAACTTTTTCAGGAATTCAACTTTCAAACAGTCTGTCGAATAAAATTGATCACATTTTAACTGAACTTAAGCGTATGTACAGTCACGTAAGAGCGTCCGCTGCCTTGGCATTGTGCGACTGACGTGGTTCAATTTTTACAATAATTATTATACAATACAAATAATTATATAAATATTAAATTGTTAGGTGAAAATTTAATTTATAAAAATTTTTTTTTCGAAAGATTTAATAAAGTTTTTAAAAAACTAGGATTATATACCATAGGTTAAAGTACACGAGACAACATTTCAGAAGCAAATATTTTTAAAGAATTTAATTATGCAGCTATTTTATTCATATTTATTAAATTTTTAGCCGAATTGTCATGTTTAACATGATTATAATCTGCAAGCAAAACAATTTTTCCTGTATCATATAGATTTATGATACAGGAAAAATTTTTGTTTGAATGAAATGAGACGAAGAACTGATGTGGTTGTTTAGGAGACGCTATGAAAATATAACCATCTTACTAAGGTGGTAGTCTAGTAGACACTTTAACACTGATGTGGTATATTTTTTTTTAGTAAAAGGTAATATGTTGGTATGGTTGTATGTTTTGACACAAAAGGACATGGTAAAGTTTTGTATGAGCGACTGCCCTGGCAAAATATAAATACTGTACTTAGTAATATTTAATGGTAAATGGCTGAATATTTATAATTTCTATGAAAAAAGGCTCAGGAACTTTTGATAAATTTAAAAATAAATTAATTAAATAATTTTTTTAAATTCTTAGAATTTTTCTTTCCATTTATCTGATTATCTCTTCACAAAAAGTTTTCTAAAGCAAAAATAAATACAAATAATTTGTGATCGTCGGCCTGACAGGCAAATTGTGAAGTTTTATTTTATCCATTTGAAAAAATTAAAGGATTAATTATCATACAGCCTTGTCTCAAGCCTGATCAGAATAATAAATACTATTATTTAAGCCCTACAGTAACTTGTTATAATAAAAATTAGGGTCAAATATGTCATAGTTTAAAGGAGTTTAGAAATTATATTGTTTATACCGATATACTTACACAAATATTTTTTGTGTACATTTATTGTTCATTTATTATGTAAAACGGAACATTTTGCTTTTGAAACAGACATGAAGTCAATTTTTATACTTTTTAATACTTCATTATTTCACGAAAGTTCTATGTGAATAATAAACACGTCATAATTAATAAAAAAATATTGTAAAGTTACGGGCTAGTGCGAAATATTTATACACGTTAAGGGCAGTTTCTTAGCCATGTCCTTTGCCACAAATACGATAATGGATTTCTAAAAATAGTTATCAATTTCGCTATAAAAACTCAATATCATACAATAAATTGAATTCGGAAAATATCGAAAACACCCGTTCTAAATTGACATTGTGTTCACAGCTTTTTTTCACGGTCCATCATGCTGTACAGCTGGTCAAGGTCAAATTCGATGCTAAATAAGCAAAAACGTTAGGGTACCTGGGCAAGTATCCCGAAATAACGTAATTTTGGAACTCCAGTTCCGATATTGAGTGAACCAATATAGTAACATCGAAAACAAATAATATAGTGTAAAATATATTTCATACAGTCACCCTGAACCTGAACGGACATGTTGGCAATCTTTCCATTGGCAATTCCGTAATTTTTATGGTCTGCGCAGACTTACCAAGGACCGGACAGAACAAAAGTACGCGGGAGTCCCTAAAAGAATAGAACTCGTGATAAGGCGCAGCAACGTACACAGCGAACTTAAGTTTGCGTTTTGCATTCGATCCGATATAAAAGGATGAACCTAGTATTCTCTCGTAAAACTTCTCTTTTTCTTTCATGTTAATGATAACGCAAGTCGCAACGTAATCTCAGAATATTTGCTTTTCAAAATTTTCGGACTATAAATGTCTGCACACCGTGTGCTGTGTTTTGTCTTTAAGGACGATGTAATTGAAAAGCTCCAATTACATTGTCGTAATTTAAAATAATCTTGTCCAAAATCCACAGCAAGAAGTCATCCAAAATATCAGAACCGGTAGTCTTAGGCAAGCACTACTAAACAGTCTTAGGCAAGCACTACTAAACAGTCTTAGGCAAGCACTACTAAACAGTCTTAGGCAAGCACTCCTTGACAGTTTAGTAGTGATATTGTTGATAGATAATTAAATATAGTTTAAGCGTAAAGCGATGCAAAACATACGAACAAACTTGAAGTTGATTTCATCACTAAAATCACTTAAAATAAATGGCTCAAAAGCAATGATGCCAAGCCACAATTGAAAAAAAATAGTCAATTGTTCCCCTTCCCAGTGTTTCGCTTTTTAAAGTTTTTAATTCCAGACTTAGACAACCCTCCTCAATTGTTTAATAAATCTTTTGAGATAATTTTATTAACATTCCTGATAATGACATCTATAGACGCTAAAGATGTACTTCAACATATATTTCGCCATTGTCCTTTAGCATTTAAAAACACCACCAGGAAAATACGTTTTGAAGTTAGTTTACCCTTTAAAAAAACGATGAATAGTGTTTTTGAGTGTTGCTTTTTACCAAATTCCGACGGTTTGTCATTTTTTTGATAAAGCAAATTGCTTTGCATTATTTCGACGACGCATTCCTACAAAGGATGCGAAACGTCAATAAAAAAAAAATCAGTGCATCTAACCCGTTCAAACTTGTTTTATTTAATGAGTGATGTGCGTGAAAACCTAAGAAACAAAAATCTTTTTATTAATTTATGCTATAAATTTAGTAGATACTAACAACTTTGAAATACTGGCAAAGGTCG